GCCAAGTTAGCCTAGTATGTATACTTGAACATGTTAACAATAATGAATTTGTTTTGAAATTATGCATAGAATGGCTAAGAGCACATTATTGTTTATAGTTGTGAAAATAGTCATATTGTGTAAATAGGCAGTTGAATGGTCAAAAATTGATTTATGTGTATGTTTGATGAGAATTGTGGTCAATTAGATATGAATGGTCCCTTTGGACTTGATTCTAGACTTAAAATGGCCTAATGAGTCAAAGAGTGTGATTTGAACACTTTAGTGCATACAATTTTTAGAAAAAGTAACTTTTTGCACTCAAGTGTCCAAATTTTAATTGGGTTATTAGATTGCATCCAAACTTATCTCATTTGTTATCTTATGAAATAAGCTTTGTGCGGGTGCTAAAATCACTTCGATTAGACATCATATATGGAAATAGCACACGTTGAGAGTTTGCCTCTGCAAATTGTCATATGACAATCAAAATCAATTATGTGCACCATAGCAAATGGCATAACAAATTGTGGTGCATGGCACAAAATGGAAGCCTGTGCCTTTATATAACATGCCACGACATATGTGGTACACACTATGGCATACAGCCTAAATTTTGGCCTTGTTTTCTTATTTTCAATCTATGATTTAGGAGTGATGAATACATGTGTTTATCATTTGATATATACATAAAGGATTTTTTTATTTTGAAAATGAAGTCTTGGGTGCCAAGTGCTTTCAAACAAATTTACTTGATTACAATTTGGTATGTGTAGGGTGGTTATATTAACCCCTCTTAATATCAGGTGGATATTGGGGGAGTTTAAAGTGGCAAATTTTGTATTACTTCTACTTTGCTTTAGTCCACTTGAATACTATCATTAGAAATGACATGTTGCAAGAAAGTGACTTTATCAAGCCAAAATTCACATTTGGAGAATTTGGCATGAAGTTTTGCTCCCTCAATATTTGTAAAACAAATTGCAAGTGTTGTTCATGCTCCTTTAGGCTCCTTAATATATCAAAATATCATTAATGAAAACAATCACAAGCTTATCAAGGAATTATCTAAACACTCGATTCATCATATCCATAAATGGTGTAGGTTCATTAACCAACCTAAATGAGGTTACAAGGAATTTATAATGACCATATCGAGTTCTAAATGTAGTCTTTAGTGTGTCTTCCTTCATGTTTAACACAAATCTATCTTTCAAAAGCACTAAGCACCTTGCAACTAGCTAAACTAATATAATGTTAATTACTTATATGTTGCTTTCATTTCTAATGTAGTATTTTGCTGGAGCAAGAACTTCATATTTTACCATGAAACAAATAGAAGATGTAATTAAAGAATTGTTAGAATATATAATTGGTTGTAGCTTTCAATGCTAGAAAAATACCAATAGTTTTATTTATTAGACTAGCTAGAGATTAGACAATTTAGGAAATTAATGTAGTTGTTTTATTTTCAAATTCTTTCATTGTATACAAATTTTGATGTTCAATAATATTGTTTATGGATTAGTTTTTGATAATGAGGTTAGTCATTTTTTAAGAGATACACAGGAGGTAGTTTTAGATAGTTTTATAAAGTTTAAATAATAATAAAAATAATAAATACATGTAAGAGCGCTCCTATAAAAAGGGTATATAGGAGCGCTCAAACAAAGAGGTGCATATGCCTACATGGTCATTTATTCGGAGTTCTTTTTCTCTATGTGTATGGGAGCGCTTTTTATAAAGTACTCCTATAGGCTACCCCTATAAAGTGCTCTCATATGTACAAGAGCCTTGGAAATGTGAGTGTTGGCCAAAAATAAGTGCTCTTGTAAGGTCATTTTGTAGTAGAGTAGTCAAAAAAGTCATCAATTTGAGGTAGTGGATACTTATTTTTCACCACCACCTTAAGTTGTCGATAATTGATGCAAAGTGTTAGTGACTTATCCTTCTTTACAGAGAGTACTGATGCTCCACAAGGAGATCTATTAGGATAGGTAAATCTCTTATCTAAGGATTCTTGCAATTGACTATTCAGTTCTCTCAACTCAAAAGGTTTCATGCTGTAAGGTGGAATAAACATTGGCTGAGTATTTGAAATCAAGTCAATAGCAAATTCAATCTCTCTATCAGATGGTAATCTAGGTAATTGTTCTAGAAAAACATTAAGAAATTCCTGTATATCAAGAAACATCAACACAATAGGAAGCTAGCCAATTCATGCCTAATATCATATCAAAATCAATCATATCAATTATCATTAAGTTGATAAAGTTTTCTCTATCCTCAAGATGTTGTTTGTAAGACGTTTACACATAAAAGACAATCAAAGATTCCCTTACTAAGGTGCCAACTATAAATGAATTTTCAAGTTTGGTTGGTTCTTTACCCAACCTCTTAATAGAATAAGTAGACATATATGAATGAGTTGATCCAAGATCAAACAATGCATAAGCCTAATTAGAACATACAATTATAGTACTTGTAACAACAACATTCAATGTTCTAGCATCCTATTTCATCATAGCATAAACCCTCACTTATCCTTGACCTAAAGAAGACAATCCTCACTTTCCATTTCCCCTTCCTAACATACCCCTGCTGGCTGAAGTAAAAGTGGCCTCAACAATTAGAGCATTGAATAATGCAGGGTGAGAAGGAGGTAGAAATAAACCATAGCTTGACATGGATTGAATATTACCAACAATCCTCATCAAGTGATCAGTCATCCCACACTCAAAGCATGTACTAGACACCCTATGACACAATCCTGAATGGTATTTTTCACAACTAGCACCAAGAACTTTGATGTAACCTAATTGATTGAAGATTAACTGTGCTTAGGGCCTAACATTGCCAAAATTTGATCTCACAATAATGGTATTTGTTGATGGCAAACCATATGATTTAGGTCTAGGTTGCATAAAACAAGAGTATGATTGACCTGAAAACTAATGACTTTTGAAGAAAGAACTAGGAAACTTCTCATTGTTCTCTCTCTTGCACTTCTTAGAAGTTTCTTTCTCTAATCTTCAATGCACTATCTACAACTTTAGCATAGGTTTTGAAATAACCAACATAGGAGCTACAAAGTCAAGTATATCTAGCAACAACTTGTGTATAAATTTGCTAATCTAGTCTCTTAGCACAATATGAGAAGAAAATGAAGATAACTCTATAAATTTTTTGATCATATTCCGTTATCAACATTCCATTGATGTACTTTAGAAAATTAGGAAACTTTGTAAATTTTTTGATCATATTCAACCTTTACATCTCTTGTACTCTAGGGTAAATAGCGCTTTAAAAAGCTAGTCCTAAACTCATCCTATGACAAGGACGGCACTCTAGTTGCCATTATATCTAGCACAATTTTTTTTGACCTAGGTATTTGCCACACTTTGAAGTTGAAATATTGCAAATTCAATGTACTACATGTCAAAGCACCTTAAAGATTAACACCTCTCTTCTCAATCCTGTTAAGAAGCTCAACTAGACCTTCCCTACCATTAGTCCTAGAAAAGGTAGGTGGGTTGAGTTTTGTGAATTCCAATAGCTTGACTACAATACTTTCTGCTCATGTATTTTAGGTAGAAGGGGTAGCCTATTCTTCAGACTGAGAATTTGATCGCTTAGTCTCTGAAGGAATATCTCGGAGAGGTTGAAGGGTGTGACCACCCCTAATTCTAATTCTATCTTGATGCTATTCTCTACCTCTTAGGGGCACATTGTCTACTAAAGAAAAGTATTGCCCAAAGTTGTGCAAGTAGTAGAGCTTCTAGTGGACACTTGAAGCTTGAGTGACATGTTTCACTATATAGGGAGACAAGAAATATTTAGTTTAAGATATAGATCTATGGAGCAAAGGAAATCAATGACAAGAAACAAAATGACATTCAAGGATTTTCTATAGAACTTTCAACGGTGCCTCCATTATAATTATGCTCAGGTTCATAGCTATAAAAATCCTAAGCTCTAATATCAATATGTCACGCCCTAAAAATATAGAATAATTGGCACGAGGTGTGAATCATATATTACACATCTCTTAAGCCTTAAATAGAGAAATATTTCTATTTCTAAAACATGATTGAATTTACATTGAAATTATGATATACTTATTAATATATACGTTATAACAAAAGTTCCAATATTTTATAAAAATTTTACATTACCTTTTCTGTAAATAAAACCTCCCAAATTATGCTTTTCTTAAAAGAATATATCAATTTTCACAAAAGCAATAACAAAACCTCCAAACAATATCCTTTCCTTTTCAGAACTATTAAATTACGGATTTGGATTTTATGCATATAGCAATTATAGGCATTAAGTGCCTGTACATGGTGGAATCTATGCTATCTGTTAAATCAACAGATACAAGAAACTTGTTACAACCAAAAGCTTGAAACATTGAATCCAAATAATATCAAAAACGCCTTTGCGGTAATATTTTCTAGAATTGGTTTCCTTCATAAGAAAAAAAAAATAGATTCTTGGATTAAAACCGAAAGCAATTGAAAAAGGGAACAGAGCACTGGAAATCAATCACCGACGAGAACAAAATGGAAGGGATTTGTATAGGAAGCAATAGTTTTCTTTTTTTTTTTCCATTATTTTCTGGGAATAGAACATTGGAGAAGAGGAACAAAAACTGTCGCCCACTGGAGAAGAAGAACAAAGCAGAGCAATGTTTCTGGAAAGAAAACTCCCAATACGTGTTGGCACCGAATATGCTGAATTCGTTAAATTATTAATAGAATTGCCACATCAAACATGATGGAATTGAAACATTGATAGAAATCAAATTGTATAAACTGAAACAGATCTTTATTTAAGGCGAACTTCTGTACATGATTGTAATCAAACATGCAAGGTCGCACACATACACAGCGGTACAATTATTCCATACACATGCCATTATGGCTTATTTTGTATATTACGTACAAGACTGCCAATCACTTACAGCAATGCTAAATATATAGCATGCTTAGGGACGTAATCTGATCTCTGAGAGATTATTAATAAGACAGGTGGTTGGAGACATCATCATCACAAACACACTTATACGCACAGTTGTTTGAAACACTGTCCTTTATCTGGCCACTATAGTTGGTTTGCTTGTCGAAGTACCTGTTAAAGACCATAACTCCCCCGAAGTTGGATGATTTCTTCACGGTTGGAAGAACATCAGACTTGAGCACTTCCGGCGGAATGTAACCGCTGCTTACGGCGTTAGGCGACGCCGGTGCCCCCAAAAACACAAACATATTATGGGCTTCAACGGATAAGCTCCATTCCTCCCAAGCCCTGAAAAGATTAACACTATTCCCATTCGAATACTCACAGGGAGAGTTATGGTAGAACTGAACCCATAAGTAATCAACAAGGCCGGTCTTGATAAGTTTGTCAAGGAAATAATCAGGGTAAACACACTGTGGAGCTGCTGATATAAGGACCTTTCTTTCATGGGAAACATGGAGGATCGCTTTAACAAGATCGTCCCAGTGAATGTTTCTACCTTCTGCGACGGAAATAATGTCAATTCCGTCCAACGCGACGCTTCCTAGTGGACCGAATTGGCCACTGAGAAAGTTGTCCCGGAGGTATTCTGCGACCTTGTACGCGACATCCTCCAATGAGGCGATGACATAGTGGTGGGAAGATGATGGCGGAATGATAATTCCTCCGATTGAAAGGAAAACTTTGATACCTTTGCTTTGGCAGTGCTTTATTTCTGACTCTAGTTTGGTGCAAGGGTCATGCGCACCGCCACAATGGCCGGCAAAGTTAAGATATGGCGTGCTTGCATCATCATAGAGAAGGAGGGATTGAAGGATGACGATGTTGTAGTTATCAGTGTCACATGCTTCCTTCAACGTTCCTTCAGCAGTATTTTGTCCCCAGTAGACGGAGACAGCAATACTACTGGTGGAAGTACATTGATCAGTGTTTGAAGAGTGAATGGTGGAGAAGAAGGAAAAGAAGGAAAAGAGGAGTATGAAAGCTCGCTTCTTGGAAGCCATGATTGTGTATAACGTTGAGGTTTTCTGGTTTCGCTCGATGGTTCAAGCACTAAAGGATATGCTCTCAATTTATAGGAACTGAGAATTGTGCTTGCGTACCTGCATATTAGTTGGAGCTCACCACATGTTTCATACAAAAGCTTCATTTTTCTTTAAAAAAAAAATAATATGCTTCTTCTAATAGGTATATATGAATGCCATACAATCTGTGATAATTTTAAAAGGACAATAATTTAAATAGGGAATAAATGAACACATTGGTGGAGTCAAGACCCAGAGCCAAGAGTAAAAGATAATTTAGTTAAATTTAAAAATTAATTACGTTTTGAAAATAATAATTTTATAAGTACAAATATAATATAATTTTAAAATTATTTTTTAAAATAATAATTTTACAAAGTAAAAATAATTATTAAAATAGATCCCGCGTGTCTAATTAAAAATCATGTTTCACAAAGGAAAGAGAAAGAAAAGAGAAAGTCGTAGTTCAAGGGATTTAGACCATTTAGATTTTAATCTAGACAGTCTAGATTTAACATCTTTTAATTTCTAATTATATTTATATTTTATATTTATTATATCAAAAAATTATTAATTTGTTTAATAAATAGTGTATCATCAATTATGATAGTGGAAATTTAATCTAGATGGTCCAATTTAATTTTAAAATTTTTATAGTTTTTATATATTGATTATCCAGATGTACTTTGCATGTTCAACTTTAATATTAAATTTTTTTATAATTTTTATAATTTTTATTTTGATAAATACAATATTAAAAATTAAAATATGTAATGTTTTAACTAGAACTTTTCAAACAATATTTTTCAAAAAAATTAGAAGTAAAAAATTTTAAATCTAGATTGTATGATACATCTAGATAGTTAACATATAAAAATATAAAAAAATTAATATTAAATTAGATCCTCCAAATTAAATATAGACCATATTAGTCATGGAAATATTTATTAAAACAATTTTATAAATTTTATAAATTTTTGTTTTGAAAATATAAAATAAAAATGTAAAATTAATTTTTTTAAATTTAGACCATATGAGCACCGAAGAAAAATCCATCGGTATTCCTAAGAGAGGTTTCTTTAATAATGTTTGGTTTGTGAGGAGATCGAGGAGTGTTTCGGAGTCCCAAAGTACTTGAGCATACTTTAGATTAATTTTTTTATTCATAAACCTTTGAATTTCTATATCATCAGGCAGGGATTTGAGGAAGGACAAATTTGGGAATTTAAGGATTTGGGAAAATCTTCTGTATAAATGTCGACCTTGTCTAAGAAACATGTAAATTAGATAGTTCATGACATTGAATTTAGGAAGAAAATTTTTGCTGTGTTAAAAGGTAAGAATTTTAGACCTCTAGAGCAAGCTTAGAGTAGCTCTAGAGTGGCATTAGCTTTGGAGACTCAAGGGGTAGCATTGTTAATTAGCATAGCTTTAGAGACTTTAGAGTAAATATGATGTAAACTATTATGTAACATGAATTATTAAATACAAAATATAACTTGTTAAATATTTTATATTATTTGTAAAATCGATAACATTATTTGTAAACTTATCATGTCCCAATTAAATATAAAAATTGTTAAATCATTATATTAACTCGTACTTATTGAAAGTAATACATTACTTATTAATTCTTAGTTTACCTGATAAGTTTGTTGTGTTGCCTGTTAATTATATAACTTGTATTAAATTGTTATGATTTGTTAATTTATAACTCAACTTGTAAAATCCATTATGATACTTGGTCTAAGGGATTTAACATGACATGTTAAATTATTAACTTCACTTGTAAAATTTATTGTGCATTCACCAAATAATGTAAGGGATTCAATAACTCATATTATGCATTTAACAAGTGATGTTACACATTTACATATTTTACATAATTCATGCTTCGAAGTTCGGATACATATATGGAGATGAAAGTGACAGACGTGGTTGCGATATCGAGAATAAAATATTTTGGCAGTTTTATCAACCCTATTCATTGGGTCGTTGAACTAAAGCAGAAAAAAAAAAAAAATGTCGCGCATCTTGTCTTCTAGCAAAATGACAAATGAATAGGAAAAACCATGTTCTTAAAATGTAAAATTTGTTTTAAGTCATGATTTATTTCTAATATTTAGGAGGCATGTAATTATTAAAAGAAGCATGAAATTTTACCTCTCAACTTTTTTTAAAGCATATGTTGCCTTAAGTTAAAGGTAGTGCAATGTTACCCTTTACATATTAAAAACTGAACAATATTGTTATCCTTATGTATTAAAAATGAAGCAAAGTCTCTCATATGTTAACTATATGTTAATTTGACTATTAAGAGTTGACATAGAAATTTATGAAAATGGACCTAAAAAATTGAAAAAAAGAACCCAAAAAATAATCTTTTAATAAAAATAATGCTAATTAAGTCTCCTATATAACAAATAAAATTTCAATAGAGTAATATTATTTTTCTACCCTTGTAAAATATCAAAATACCATTTGAATCAACCATTCTAATTGGCTACTAGATGATTATGATCATATTATCATTGCTGGTAATAACATAGATCAATAATTAAAAATATAATTTTTAATAATATTTTATTATAATATTAATACTTTAATATTTAATAATTAAATATTATTATTTATAAATTGTACATATAATTTACAATTTAACTTTTTGGATACATATGATCAGAGTTATGATTCATCATGGGTGAAAATTAAATTCAATAGTCCTAACAATATCTTAAATTGGACAAATCAAAACATGACAAGAAAGTCTTCATGTTCATCCCATCTCTTGTGTTGCATAATATTCTGAAAATGATGGAGAATATATTTTAATTTTGAAGCTAGAAATCTAAATTATAAAAAAAGGCTAATAAAATTTAAAAATTAGATCCTACTATAAGCCATCTTCCTTTTTGAAACTTTCACATGTATATAATATAATATGATTTGTTATAAAAAAGTTGGACTGTTTTTTGTAATTCCTCGTTTTCTTGAGGGTTTACTATCTTTAATGGTGAGGTTGTAATATCACTTTCTCCTAGTCTAAAAGTTATTTCTTTTAAAAAAGGGTGTATGGCTGTTACTGAAGTGTCACTACAACATATCTAACCATAGAGGACCGTTGTCAACCATCCTCTATTCGACCGTCCTCTATTGCTGAGACATATAGGACGATTATAAGATGATCCTATATTGAAGATAAATAGAGGACGACTTTTTATATAACGGTCCTATATAACATTTAAATTTTGGTTACAACTGGAAATATATAGGCGTTAGAGGACGGTTATCTAATACAACCGTCCTATATACGGTTTTTGTCAGAACCATCCTCTATATGACAAATATAGGACGGTTATATTGGATAACCGTCCTCTAATGTCATGTTTTTCTTTCAAATAGGTTAGTTGCTTTTCCAGCAACCACCCTGCAATACAAAAACATATATACTCAATAATACTCTAAAACAGCCCAGAAGATATATCCTACTCAATTGAAATCTATAATATTTACAATTTAATTACATCAAAAGTATTGAATTTAAAATTCAATGATATAAATCAATCAATATGAGGTAAAATACCAATCCCTAAATTATATCTACACTATATTTGACAACTAAACTAATCTATTCCTAGACTAACTACATATTATCACCTCATATTGGATGTGACCCACTTTTCATATGCATATTCATGCCACTCTTCGAGAACTTCATTAATTTGGGTATCATCGAAACAAGGTGTAGCATAATCTGGATAGTACTGCAACATGCATAAAAATAAAGTTAGTTGATGACAATTAATATTCATTATAATATAAAAAATATATTACACAAATTATAGATACTGTGAGGGGGATTGTAGGCTGACCGTGAGTGATGATATCTTTAGCATACCTCATCACATAGTAGTGGCAATTATGACTGTTGTCGATTTGTCAGGGGCATTACATGAAGAAAATCATAAATATATATGTTATTGACATTAAAAAATGAAAACAATTGATTAATTGGCAGTAATTTAAAGATATCTATATTACATTCCATTCAATGGCATCCTTGTATTCCTTGAATAATCTCTTGTTTAGAAGACTTGCATCGATGCGATATAGCACAACAGCCCTAATATATGGAAGACAAACATGTTAGAAATGTAGAATTTTAGAAACAAATAAAATATTAGTTATTAAATATACTTGCCTATTAAATAGCTCCATCATGTCCGATCAGTTAGTTGGATCCCCACCATGAGGAGCTAAATCCAAATAGTACACCTTTGGAGCTTTAGGATCTGCTGGCTCAATCCTAATGAGCATCCAGTGTCCCTAAGAGAATTGGATGATGTATGTTATAATTGAAATTTGAGAAAGACAATAAAATGAAATCAAGGTTTTAGAAAATCAAGTAACTAACTCATTAAGATAAGGAATCAAAAATAACATCCCCTTTGAAGCCAGTCTTTCCTTGAAGTACGTGGTCAATGTTTAAGATTACTGCTATAAATGCTTATCCTTCTGATTGCCTTCAAAACTTGGGAACTCATGAGGATTGACAAATACAAACCTTGATCCCAAGTTACCAGGATTGATGAAGGTATCATACAAGTACCTGAATGAAGAAATTAACAGAAGTAAATATGAATAAAAACTGTAATCTAGATATATGAATAGGAAGAGTAATTAAGCACCTCATATAAATGTTTACTGGGCTGTGGACGACCTCATTGCGCATCATGACGATATTGACGATGTTAAAGTCAATAATCTCACTGACCTCTTTTTGATACATGTCATCATTTGGCAGTACAAACTGTGCCACCATGTTCTTGGCCAATCACTTATACTTTGCCAACATATTTTGATTTATCTTTGGAAAAGGGGGAGCAACATCCACTAGTGCTGGCTTGGAGGTCGATTGTTTCCTGATCTTTGATAGCTACCCTGATTGTCTGGTGGGTCATTCCCTCTGGACTAAGTGCCAATTAACATCAATTATTAGAATTTTAATTTTAATTGACTGTAACTTGAATTTGAATCAAGATAGTGCAAATTAATGGCATACCTGTGGTGGAGTTTCTTCTGCTCCCAACCAGACAAGATGCTTAGGCCATATAATATAAGAGCCAATCGCATCTACTATAATTTTTAACTCATGATTTTATTTGAGTAGCTTGTAATTGGCATCATTAGGCTTGATAATCAGCCCTTTGACCCACCCTTTAGGCGCGGGCTCATTGTGAACTTGTTGCCTCGGGACATTGTACATTTTCTTTGTGGTAACTTTATGTCTACTTGGGCTATTGGGCCGGGACGAACAGTCAGCCTCACCCTAAACATAGAAGGAATATAAGTTAATAACAAAATAATAATTGTGGACTACAATTAAGAAAGTAAAATAATTTAAATACCTCTAAGAGATGACGAGGAGAAGGCTGAAGCACGGTATAGCTATCTTTTTGAGTATGGACAGGCTCCGAGGTTGACTTTCTAAGTCCATGGCTCTTCATTATTATCGTAAAAAATTCTTCTTGCTGCACTACTCGTGCTTTCAATGCCTCAAGCTCAACATCGACATCCTTTTTTGGAGCCTTCTTTTCACCGACAATTTGTTTTCTGGTAACATCGATGCCGACACCCCTAACACGATCAGGGTGATCCTTATTGCCTAATGCCTTCTTCAAGATATCTTCATTCTTTAGAAGCTCACCTCTAGAGGCTTCCTCTGAGAGAGCACTCTGTAAAATATATATATATATATATATTAAATTAAGTAAGGAAATATTAAATTATAATATTTAAATTATTTAAAGATTGTACTTACAACTTTTTCAACAAGTTCCTGAACATGTGGAGAAGTAATCGTGCCCTTTTTGTCTATCCGAGCTAGAATGAAATGCCTAGCACATGAAATGAAAGTCTCTCCCGTGCCTAATCTTGTGAGCTATGCAATGAATCAATACGATAATAAGTTAATGATAGCAATGATTTACATATTATTTAATATAATAAAAACTATTAAATTTAATATATATATATATATATATAAACACACCTCTTCTTGCTCAATTCCTGAATAACCTACGCGGGATCCTAAGTAAGGCATATCATTATTCTTAGCCCTTAAATCCCTGTTTTCGCTAGCTCAATGATTGGAACTCATTGCTGAAACGGTTGGCAACAAATACATCCCATTGATCTTGCCTAACAATTGCTCTTAGTGGCTCAGGAACCTCACCACTAATTCTTTCAACCAATGTGATATATTTCAGTCTCATGTAGTATTAAAACTATCGATGTGCCTTAGCGGTCGAATGAAAGATATATTTCTTTTGAGTAGTGTCAATATGAAATGTCGCCTATTCAATAACACAATCAAGGCATAATTTATATGAAATTCCACTATTCAAAAACACAATTAATTAATTAAGAATTTTAATTTTACCTCAATCAGTTCTCATATCGACTCCCTCATTGCTTCATCAACATCATGCCAGTTATTAGCTGATAGGCCAAGTTGTGATCAAGTCACTGCACTGATGTAACTACTAAATTTATGCTTGTTCTCCTTTATTGGTTGACCCTTAGGATTCCATTCAAGGGAATACTTAAGTCTAGCCAACCTCCTCCTAGACACCATCTCTATTATCACTAGACATTTCTTGATTGTTTTAAACATTTGATCCGCCTCTTTGTCATTCATGCCATAAAGAATAGAAGAAAGACCTTCATTGTCAAGACTAGAAGTGGCATTGGGAGGATTGTTCAACAAGTCTGCATGCTCAATGTTAACAGGACTAATGTAAACTAGGGTAGTGGCTGTAGGAGCTATGTCAATTGGAGCAGTGGCAGTAGGATCCGTGTCAACTAGAGCAGTGGTAGAAAGAGTAGGGTCAATAGGGGAAGTGGCAGTGGAAACAATTCTACATCTCTTTGGAGCTATTTTTGGAACCATTTACCTATCACGCAAGTCACAAATAAAATTAATTGAAAGAAACACAAGTAGCATAAATAACTAAAGCTTACAAGCTAAGTCACAAATAAAATTAATTGATAAAAGCACAAATAGCATAAATAACTAAAGCATACAAGCTAAGTCACAGATAAAATTAGTTAATAGAAACACAAATAACTAATACATGTTTAAGTTGGTCTTTTTCTTTTCCTTGTCTCCTTTTGAACCTTTTTCAACTTAGCAGCTTGGTTTAATTTCTTAATCTTCTCTTTTATTCTTTTTCCTCTTTTTGAAATCCAGATACCATCTTTGTGATCACTTCTAATATAGTTGGTGCCATCTTCGATGACATTACATTCAAGTGCTGTCCCTTCAAATAGATCATCCTCAACTGTAGTATCAAGCGGATTGATGGCCTCTCCAAATTCTTTATTTAACAATAACACAATCGACTAACTCGATGAAATAGGATCAATGACATAAAACACTTGCCTAGCTTGTGATGTAAAAATGAAAGGCTCGGTCTTATAACCCAACATATTTAAATTCACCTGTGTGAACCCTGAATTATCGACCGTGTGAAAACCATCCTCATTATCAATCCGTTTGCAACCAAAAACTAAAATCTTGAACTTACTATAGTCTAACTCCCAAATATGCTCAGTAACTCCCAAGTATGACATTCTTGCATACATGGGATTTTTGTCTTTACTACTGGATACACATATCGCTTCACCAATCACAGTTACACCACTATATTGCATTGTGCTTCTTTCATCCTGCTTTTCAGTATAAAATGTGAAGCCATTAATTATATAACTAGTATAAGAAATGACTTGTACATTGGGCCCCTAGACAAGCATGTAACCCTTTTTTGTACCGATTTTTTGTCGACATTATATATGGCTACAATGTGCGCCTTCAACCAATGTTCGAAGTGCTTATTATAAATTTTTGCAATTGCGGTGTCATTTCTTCCAGGGTTGTCCTTCCTAAGTTTAGCATTGTGCTTGTCAACATACTCAAGAATCTCATCCAAGTTATGCAATACAAAAAGATGTGCTTGCTCTTAATGGTTTTGTGAAATAGTGATTAATTTATTTCCTGCTATCACTTCCCCATCTTCCCTCCCTACATGCCAATCTACTGAAAGCCCAACATTTTTCCCATCTTTTTAAGTACTCTTGACAAAATTCAATTGCATCTTTACTTATGTACCTTTTAGCAATACAACCCTCTAGTCAACTTTGATTTTTCACATACCCTTTTAGAACCTTAATATTGCGCTCAATAGGGACATCCACCTTAAATAAGCCGGGCCATACTTTTCAACCTCTTTAACCAGGTGAACAGTCAAGTGAATCATTATGTTAGAGAATGTGAGTGGAAAATACATCTCAAGCTCACATAATGTCCTCACAATTTAGCGCTGCAAGCTTCCTAACTTTGTAGGGTTGATCACTTTACTACAAATTGACTTGAAGAAGAAGCATAGTTTAGTAATTGTAGCTCGTACCCCATCCGGTAAAATTGAGTATATGCCCACTGGAATAAAGGTCTCTATCAACACATGGAAGTCATATGTTTTTAAACCCTTTGGCTTTAAGTCCTTCACAAACACAATATTTCTAATATTAGAAGAGTAACTTTCTAGAACTTTAACTCCGGCCAAAAACTCACAGAAAATTCATTTTTCTCTTTTAGAAAGTGTATAGGCAGCCAGATGAAGGTACGCACAGCTTCCCCTCTCCTCTGGTGCTAAGTCTTCTCGTATTCCCATAGCCACCATGTCTAACCTTGCATTAATACCATCTTTGGTCTTTCCTACAATGTGGAGTAATGTACCCATAATGCTATTACATACATTTTTCTTAACGTGCATTAAATCAATAAAATGCCTCACATCTAACTTCCTCCAATAAGGCAGTTCAAAGAAAATTGACTTCTTCTTCCACCCACCTATCCCATCATGCTTCGCAAAAGGTTTCCCATACTCAATATCCAAATCCTTAACTTTTTTAAATAGCTCATAACCGGATAATATTAGAGGTGCCACCTCTTCTTTTGGTTTCCCATTGAAATATTTTCTTAATCTTCGGTAATAATGCGTTTCGAGTAACTATCTGCGATGTCTTAAATAGACATTCTTCATACCATGTTCCAACTTCATGGAATGTGTGCTATTTTCACAAACAGGACATCCAAGTTTTCCTTTAACACTATACCCTAACAAATTACCATAGGCTGGGAAGTCATTAATTGTGCCAAATAACAAGGCTCTTAAATTAAAACTTTCCTTCCTGTACCCATCATACACCTCAACACTAGTCTCCCACAATATCTTCAAATCTTCAACCAGAGGAGCCAAATACACATCTATATCATTTCCAAGTTGTTTCAGCCTTGAAATTAGCAAGCTCAATATCAAATACTTATGCTTCATGCATAACAATGGAGGTCAGTTATAATTTATCAAAATCATTGGCCATGTGCTGTAGGTACTACTCTGAAGCCCAAATGGATTCATTCCATTAATAAATAACCCAAGTCGTAGGTTCCTATTGTCTTTTGCAAAGTCAGGATACTCACTATCAATCTTTTTCCACTTTAGAGAGTCAGCAGGATGCCTTAGCATTATATCTTTAATTCTCCTATCCTTATGCCAAGTCAAATTTCTCGATTCCACTTCACTTCCATACAATCATCTAAATCTCGATACTATAGGAAAGTACCATAGCACTTTTTTTGGACTCTTCCCATTCTCCTTATAATGTGATGCTGAACATTTACGACACTTAAATAATTATTCATGTTCTTTCCTGAATAAAATGCAATCATTCAGGCAAGCGTATATCTTCTTATAGCTCAAGCCAACATATTTCAACATCTTCTTTGCATCATATAACCGCCTTAGAAGTTTGTTATCCTTCGGTAGCATTTTATTATGCAAACATAAAAGCAAGTTTGTGAAGCTCATATCACTCCACCCACCTTCTGCTTTCAATTGGTATAATTTTCACACTGTAGTCAACTTTGACACATGTTCCCTAGCACCAATGTACAATGCTGTCCCCATATCACTTCTCAACCTTTCGAGCATTTGAAGACAATCATTGAGTTCTACTTTAACTACATTGGCCATCTCTTTAACATGATCTACCTCACCTACACTTGTGTCAAAGTTATTTGACACATAGCTATGGCTTGTTCTAGTCATGTCCCTTACCTCTCCATGCTTATACCAACACTTATAATTTTGATCGATTTCACTAACCACTAAATGGTCTTCCAATTCCTGTACAGTGGCCCACCTCATAAGTCCACATCTTAGACAAAGGCACACAATACTCTTACTATCTCCCTCATGCTCAACACCAACCTTAATAAAGTGGCTCACCCCCTCCATATATTCCCTCGATCGTCGATCCGCAAACATCTATTCTTTACCCATAATCTTAAATCTATAAAAAATTGCTAAGGGACATGTGATGAGTGGCTCAATCATCGTAAGTGCAAGGTAATAAATTAACTACTAACTCATCAATGCATTACTCATGAACTACTTGATTAAAAATTGTGGGGATCCCTAATAAAAAATCCTTACTATTAAAAATTTAAGTATATTTTAACTTACAGTTCTTCTAGTTATCTAATAAGCCATAATTTTCATTTTAGAATACTAACTAGTTGTTAGTATTCTTAGATGAAAAATTTGGCATTATAATAGCTTAAAATTGGAACTTTCCTAGGCATTTAGCCCTCTCTTCCAACCTCTTAAAATTGGATTTTTCACTTCATAACTCATAGGAAACAAATAAGACAATAATACTATAACCTTAAATTCACTATTAACTATCAAAATTTATATTTCCTTAACCTTACCCCTTCCCTTTTTAAGAATAAAAATGTTGAGAATCAAGGCAGGAAGAACAGATCCTAGTGAAGATCAGATCCAGCATGAAGATTACGTGTCTCATTCAAAGTAAATGGAATGATTACGTGTCTTGCAACCCCAGAAACTAACAAAGTAAATGGATTTTCAATTATGCTAGTATAGCTGGTGGGTGTTTTTGAAATGACTTCAGTCCTAATTTCAAATCCAATAGAACAACTTACTTCAGGACAAGGAATGGTGGAAGGGAATGGACAACCCCAGATTCAGATCCTAAACTTTCTTTCCTTTCAGACGTTTTATCGAGCACCTCATGTGCATAATGCTAAAACTATAAATCCAACTCTATTCTCCTCTAAATCACATCTCAAAATTTGATTTGAACACATAGAGACACAGAGAAGGCACAAATACAAAGAAGCATCAAATGAAAGTCATAGAAAGAAGCTTACAACTGATAAGAGCTCCAAATGCCCAATGCTATCGCGTGAAGTTGAAGCAGCAATAACAGCATTTGTAAGCAAGTTCTACCCTCAAGATTTTGCCAAAAATTGAAGAAATAGGCTTTGGGCAATGGGTTTTGTGATTTCGTTCAGTAAGATGAGGCTTTGGGGTTGAAAAAGACAAATGCCCGAGAGGTTTTCAACTTTCTCTCTGTTTTGGTTTTTCGCTATCTGCTTTCGGATTTTGAAAATGACAATTGATATAAGGGAAAAAGCAAATATAGGACAGTTTACATAAAGAACCGTCCTATATTCTAAAGCACAGAGGATGGTTTTTAAAAATAACAGTCCTCTATAATTTTAGTTTTTAAAAAATTTTATTTTTTTAATTTCAAAAACAAATATAAGGCAGTTTAAGGATGAACTGTCCTATATTTACTAAATCATATAGGACTATTTTATTGGTAACCATCCTATATAATTTTCATCATTCAACCTCCTTTTCTCTGCCTTCTTATATAGGACAGTTTCGTATTAAACCGTCCTATATAAGGAGTCCTCTATTAACAATTTTCTAGTAGTGTGTTATTTTTACATTTTCAGTTTCTAGTTTTGACTGTATTTACATTCATTGAAGGATGATTGTATTTACTAAAAGGGTTAAATATTTCATTATTTCATGTGTATGTTTCTAACCATCTAAAGAAATCTATATGTTCTCTAAGTTGGTTTAACTCTTTATAATAAATTTCCTTTATTTCTTCTAATCCTTCTAGTGACAAATTCTTAAAATACCAACTTCTCTTGTTTCTATTTTTTGGAGACAAAAACATTTTTCTAAGTATTTTTTTATCTAATTCAAAACCTTCTTTTCTAATAACATTTAAGGATTGATAGTTTGTTGGTGGTCTAAATTCTTTTTTCATTTGTGACTGGGTTTCTAAATTTATATTTTCTTCCAAATTGACTTTAGAGGTTTCAGCTTTATGTTCAGGATGATTTATTATCTTTATATATATATATATATATATATAATATAGTATTCAAGTTTGGAGTTATGTTTAAGATAATATATTATTTTTTAGATGTATATAAAATTAACTTTTATCTATTTAAAACTCAAATTTGATAATTTAAAAAGGATTAATCATATTATTTTATATTTTTGTGCAATTATAAATTTTATTTTATATATATAATATTACTTGTTCTGGAAGATGTTTTCTAAAAATGTTTGTCTATTTGAATTCAAACTAAAATCTATCAAACCAAAAATTTAGGGGGATGAATGTGTGGATCTGTGACTGTAATATCAATATTTAAAATCTATCAAACCAATATTTAAACCAAAGATATTTAAAATCGATCTAACCAAAGATAGATTAGAAAATAGACAAATAAAAATAGAGACGCCAGAAATGTTTTATATATACTTAGTGAAGGAAAGGAATGGATGAATGTGTGGACACTTTTCTTTTGTTGGGAACCATGATACGGAGGATATAAAGGACAAGGGAACGAAAGTGTATATTGCTTCACCATAGTGCCGTGTGTGAGCACAAGTGATTCATTAAAGGATGAAGAAGACAAAATAAGGGAGAGACAGATGGAAGCTACAAGACAAAAGTTGAAGGAATTAAAGAAAGAAGAAGGAGAAGGGAAGGACGTTACCTCAAGAGAATGAAAAGCAGTTGGAGTAATCCGATTGTACTATGAGGCCGCAGAGGATGAAAGAAAGTATATTAGGTATAGATTTTCATTAAAAATTATATATTTTTCGAAAATAAAATTTAATCACATTAAATGCTATTAAAATATTAAATCTCTATTTGATATAGATATGGCTCCATAAGATAACATCTACATCCTTTAAACTTTGACTTATTTCTAATTATTATTACTATTATATTTTTTTCACCATAAATTTAATTAATTCAATCCTAAAATATATTATGCATTCATCAAGTAATGAAAGGGACTCAACAAGTCATATTATGCATTTAACAAGTGATGTTACACAATTTACATATTTTATATAATTCATGCTTCGAAGTTTGGACGTGGATGAAAGTAACAGACGTGGTTGCGACGTCGAGAATAAAAATATTTTGGCAGTTTTATCAACCCCAGTCGTTGGGTCATCGAACTAGAGCCAAAAAAACAAATGTACGACATCTTGTCTTCTAGCAAAATGATAAATGAATAGAAAAAACATGTTTTTAAAAAGTAAAATTTGTTTTAAGTCATAATTTATTTCTTTTATTTAGGAGGCATGCAATTATTAAAAGAAGCTTGAAATTTTACCTCTTAACTTTTTTTAAAGCATATGTTGCCTTAAGTTGAAGGTTGTGCAATGTTACCCTTCATACATTAAAAACTAAAAAATGTTACCCTTATGTATTAAAAATGAAGCAAAGTCTCTCATATGTTAAATACTGTTAATTTGAATATTACCTACAAATTAATGAAAACGGATCTAAAAAATTGCAAAAAAGAACCCAGAAAATAACCTTTTAATAAAAGTAATGCTAATTAAGTCTCCTATATAACAAATAAAATTTCAATATACTAATATTATTTTTTTACACTTGTAAAATATCAAAATACCATTTTGACCAACCATACTAATTGGCTACTAGATGATTATGATCATATTAGCATTGCTGGCAACAACATAGATCAATAACTAAAAATATTATTTTTAATAACATTTTATTACAATATTAATACTTTAATATTTAATAAATTAAACATTATTTTTTATAAATTGTGCATATAATTTACAATTTTAATTTTTGGAAACATAAACTTTTGAAGGATTTATGAATTTCGAAAGAAGAATAATAATTTTTCACACAATTTAATTTACAACTAAACTTATGTGAAATTCACATTCACCCATAAATATCATAAACACTAGTTGAGCTATTAATTTTTAAATGAGATCTGCAAATCTTTTTTTTTTTTTTGGGCAAAGAGGATCCGCAAATCTTGAAGAAATATTTATAAATAATAATATTTGAATTATTAAATATTAAAATAATTAATATTTTAATAAGATTTAAAAAAATATAATATATTTTTAATTACTTGCTCATGTTTCTTATATTGGTGATCTCACCCGGTAATTAGTGAAAATAGTTGGTTTTAAGATGATATTTTTGTCTTTTATATAAATAAGAAATAACATTAGACTGTTGTGATTTATTCTCACCTTTATTAATAATATATTTTTACAATATTAATAGTTTAATATTTAATAATTTAAATATTATTACTTATGAATCTTCACACATAACGTACAAGTCAAATTTTAAGATATACGAAGTTTCGAAAGAGTTATAAATTCTGAAAGAAAACTTATAATTTTTCTCACCATTTTAATTTATGACTCAACTAGCATAAAAAGCACATTCACATATGAATCTCATAAATCTTGTAGGAATATTTATAAATAATAATATTTTAATTGTTATATATTCAAAATGTAATATTTTACTAAGATGTTGTTAAAACAAATGTAATATTCATTTATTACTTTTTGATGTTTCCTGTATAATTGATTCGACAATCACCTGGTAGCTGGTCAAATTGGTTAAAATGATATTTTCATCTTTAAGAAACAAAATTAGTCTTTCAAAATTTATTTGTAATTTAGGGAACTTAATTAATATTAATTTTTAATCAGATCTTGTTTATTTTTTAGGTCATTTTCTGTGATTTTGCTGGTAAATTTTTATAATTCTTTTGTCAATTAATGATCAAGTTAATATAAATTTAATAGAGGGGGTAACATTACGCCCCTAAAGGTGCCCAACACACTTGAAAGAATAGTTGAGGGACAAATTATTACTTGAACCCTTAAAAAGGAGAAAACAAAAGACAACATTTAATAAGATATTGGGTATGTGGGCAATGTTGACATCCGCCGATATATACCGCAAAAAGTATCTTTGTAACCATCAAATTTTTGGTGTTATTAAAAATATAAATTATATAGCGCCTACACGGTTACCGCTAGCCCTCAATTAATATATGAACTTTTTATCCTTTTTTATATGGAAAAATCACAGCGAATAATTCTGGAAACTGATATTACCATTGAAGGACTCTATGATTCTGAAATCTCACTATATACCCATGGGATCTTACTGAAATTATATTTGATTGCAAAAAGGCCAGATTACCCCTTAATATGACATATGAATTGACAAGCAACCATATTAAATTAACAAACAACAAATCAGGCAAAAAACAAAAAACAAAAACAAAAAGCACCCATGCATGTTTTAACAAGTTTAAAGTAACACGGCTCGATTAAAAAATGGAAAAATGGACAAGTGTAGACAATGAAACCCTTTCAACCTTATCTAAATCTTTGGGCATGTCTTTGAGTCATGAAATTAAATTTCCATATGATACATGTCTTGGTTCCTCGCACTGAAGCATTCGAAATGGTGATCACATCTTCGATCTCTTGGATTCTTGTGAATGACCACAACATTTAATGGTGTGCTTTTTCTTAGTTCCTGACATATAATTTGGGCCTTCACTTTATTTAAGGAAATGATATCAGAAAAACCATGATGCTCCCACAATTACGGCTGTAAAAAAAAACCTTCAAGATTATTTCAAGTCCTATTTTAACTAATAATGTCTCTAGAAATTGTGAAATCTTTAAAAAAAGTTATTGTATTCATATTTACCTTAGACTATGCACAAAGATGGACCCATAATCCAGTTTTATAGGAATGTGAGAGAACGACCATGCATGCACCTCTTGATCTTGCATGACAAACGTACACAAATTATGTCTTCTCAACCTTATTATTGAGAATATTTTGGAGTGAAATTATGAGACTTTCAAAGTGCATATAAAAAATGCTAAAAGATTTCATGTTGTTATGTCATTGAAAACAATGTTACGTTGATTAATTCTCACGAAAATGCTAAGAAAAATTATTATCACAAGCGTAATGAAATCTTGTTTTCGTTTATTTAGTTATTTGCTTAATAATATATATATTATCAATCAATCAACTAAAATTATAATAAATGTTTATATTATAACCCATGATTTAGGGTTGATATTGTTTT